TACGGGGACAATTGACACCGGCAATGACAACTCAATATAAAATTCACCAATTGAGCCCACGTAAACTGCATTAACGCCCAGTTAGACGGTAGGTAACGTAAGAAATTAATTCAAAGCGAAATGCATAACCAACCAAACCTGCGTATTTGATAGGAACAAAATAAACAAAAGCGGCGAACTATATAGGCAGGTATATAGGTATATAAATACTCAGGTTAGGTTGGTTGTGCATTTCGCTTTGAATTAATTTTTTGCGTTACCTGCCGTCTAACTGAGCCTCTATGAAGCGACTAGTACTATACAGGGTTGCTGGGTTTTGAAGCACCAGTTTTAAACTCACTAAAAGGGTAAGCAGTTACTTCATAAAGCACGCAATCAATAGATCTTAGTACTTAGTTCTAGTACTTTTTAACTTAAAATCAAGTAATATGTGCTAAGATGTAAAATTATTTTTGATATATCAGTGATGACTGAAAGAAGTTGCAAAGCAAAAGAAAATGCAATTAATATGCCGTAGTAATTGTAAGTTAAGTGTGACTCTTTTTATGCAACAGTTTTGAACTCACTGAAGTGATAATCAGCTGCTTCATAAAGGTAAGCAACAATAGAACTGCTTCAGTACTTTTGAACTTAAAATAAAATAAATTTGAAAACACCAATAAAATCATATATCTTTTTAATAATAGTAGTTCAAATAGAAAGAACGGAACGCTTTTAAGAACAAATTTAGTAGTTTCTATATTTTCCTTCTTACTAGTAATTTCTTTTTTTTGAATAGATTTTTTATAAGTTTCATACTTTTGACCATAAATTTATGTTATTTACAATTCACAGTATGTATACTATATATAATTTATTGTATATATGTTTATGTTTATATAAAGTTAATATTATTTAATAATTTTTTAAAGAGGTTTTTTCGAACAGTAGTGAAATACAACAACAAAAATTGATTTTTTTTTTATATTATTTTAATTAATTGAATTTTTGGCTGACCATACAGCTGTTTCGAGTATTGCCAAATACCCAACATCAGTGGTCTTGGAAATAATTCTTGTATATAATTATTCGTAAATAATTATTTTTTGAGACTGCAAGTACCAGGAATCGAACTCGGGTCCTGCCAAATGTGAAGCTCAGAATCAGTTTTCATCAGTTTTTCTTGTGGTCAGTGCACTGAAGAAAGTGTCATATTATTATGAATTTGAAATATTACAAAATTTATTATTTTGTGAATTATGCATTAATATTTTTTGTTAATTAATGCATAATTCAATATTATGCAAATTATTCAGTAAATAATTTTAATTAAGTTCAGAAAGAAAATGCAATACAAATCAAACGTAATTTCTATTTCTCATATCGATTAGTTTGAGTTAGAAGTGCTCAAGTTACTTCACACACAAAATAGGCTACCAAGCTAATACAGATTAAGGATCTGGGTTAGCACCATGTAGCGTACAATCTACATTAACATTATATTACAATTCTACACATATGTTTAGAATATTATATATATTACATCCTAAATAAATAGGGCACTAACTCACTATTTAAAAAGACTGAATTGATGTGGAATACAGGAGTACAATTTGAACACAAGAAGAGTTGTTTCGGGAATTGTATTTACTAATAATTGGCATAGCAATTATATGACGACTAACTGGGCAATTCTGGCAAAGATCGTTGAATGTTTTTCGTACGATCTTAGTAAGATCGACCAGAAGACAGCTTGTAAGATATTAACTACTATGGCACAAAAGTCTTTCAAAAGAAGTTTTATCATTTGCAATTCGTGGTAGAAAGCTGTTTCGTTCTATTTATTTTGTGGTGAAATCAAAAATATCTGCTAATCGCTACCACAATTTTATTACAAAAGTGATGGAAAGCCGCAAGATGTATGTTCCATTATTATTACTATTTATACATAAATAATTATTAACGGAATTTACCTCATGTCATATAAGAAATGGTTACAGTTATTGATGCATTAGGCATAGCAGTGGCGAATAAAAATTAACAAGTTTTAGAAGAATAATATAAATATATCCAAATAAATAAATAAATATATGAATAAATCAATGTTAAATAAATAATATTAAATATTAATTTTTAAATATATGAAAAATATATGTACTATATTCATACATATATAAATATATATAAAATATATATCTTAAAATTATTTCAAGCACAATATAATATATCAATGCATTTACGTTTCCGTTGTATTAAATATGTAGTTGCATATAATTGTTCGAAATAATTGTTTTACAAATTTTAATTAATCAATTCATCTATTAATCTATTTTATTCTAGCTTTTATCTATTTCATTGTATTTTATATATATAAAATTTGGGCACAAAAAATACAAACAAAATTTTCTCTGAAAATCGAAAGACCTGTGGCTCGATTATGCAACTTTCGACTCGACTCGACTTTATGCAACCGGAATTGGAACACAAAATTAAAAAACATTAAAAAACAGCTAAGGGTTCGATGGACCTGCATGCATACATGTTTGAAAGGCAATACAACAAGCTTTAAATAGAGTAAAAATCAGAAAAATCGTAAGCGTGGAATTTGTTAAAAATCAATGTCCTAACTCCCTCCAGATCACAGATTTGAAAAAAGTGAAAACGTAAAATGATCAGAAACATATCACGAAACATCATTTTAAATCGTAAACCGAATTTTACAATTATCAAAAAAACTGATAAAAAATAATATTTTTTTACCTTATTTTACTCTAACATATATATCATCGCGTGCAAAAGTCCGATGGCAATAAGAATATTTTTCCTTTAAAGACAAAATATACCTTTCTAAAATGGTCAAAGTCAAGAAAATCGTATACACAGTTTTTATTATTTTTTAAAAAATTGATAATTTTTGATTAAAAATTCAATTATATACGGCGCAGAAGCCATCCTGCCATCTATAATTCCAAACCAAAAAAGGTATGGTGTTTATATAATAATGAAATGGCCTAATAATGAAAATGCGAATATTTATCATCAAAAATTGTTTTATTGTCTTTCAAAGTATTCTCCAGCCTGATTTTCACACTTTTGCAGGCGCTCAAACCAATTGTCGAAGCACTTTTTCCACTCCGATTGAGCCACCTCCAAAATATGGTTTTCGAACGCTTCAACAACATCTTCTGGCGACGAAAATCGTTGACCATGCATTTTTTTCTTGTTGTGCGGGAATAAAAAGAAGTTATTGGGTGCCAAGTCAGGGCTGTACGGCGGATGACCCATCAATTCGACGTTTTGGCCAGTCAAAAAGGCACTGCTCGCGTTGTCATGGTAAATATTGATTCGTCTTCTCTTGTTCGTTTTTCGAATTTCTCTTCAGGCAAACAAATTGTGGTGTACCACTCAGAAGTGACCGTTCTTCGTTGCTTAAGCGGGACAGTCGACAATTCACCAATTTTGCCGAAGAAACTGGCGACCATTTACTTCGAAGTGCTTCTTCCATGAACAACTTTCGTTGGATTTGGCTCGTCTTCAAAGACCCACACGGTCGATTGTTGTTTTGTTTCGAGCTCATACGCATAAATCCATGATTCGTCACCTGTGACGATCTTAAAAACGTCTTTTGAAGCACCGCGAACATATTTTTTCAACATGTTCACCGGTGTGAATCGCTGGACTGATTTTGATAGCCTCTTGCGTACCACATAACCGCATCCAAATTCACGCCTATTTGCATGGCAGTTGTAGTATACATTACAGTTTGCTCTTTTAGACCAGCCTTGTCCTGTCCATCGCATTTCCTGGATGACGGTGACGTCAGCCTTACATTTATTGAGGGCTTCCGCCAGTTGGATAGAGGCACCTTCCCTATAGAGGGTCCGGACATTCCAGGTACATGTCCGTAAATCATAGTCCTTTAATCGTTTGCATTAGTCGTCAACATTATTCGGTTTCCAGTTCCGAGGCACTCTTGCGTTCTTCATTGGTGGCTGATTTTACGTGACGGTTACCAAACCCTGTGCACAACCCAAATTTAAAGTGCTGGGGATGAGACTCGCCGTACGCACTATTAGTTCATTACCCAGCGGGTGTCAGGTAACTATCCAGGGGTGCCACGAGAAGGCTGTGCGACAACTTGGATTGAGGACAAGGATTGCGCTGGCATTTTCCATGTTAAATACAATCACACTCGTGTCCTTGTGTACTCGCTTTCAGGGACAAAAAAGCTTGTCTATTACTTTGTGAGAAGTGATAATCGTCATAGTAAAGATTTGTACATTACTATAATTGAGCAGTGGTACATACTTTGTTTAGGACAAATTTTAACCGAATCTCTAGTAAAACACATCTTTGACATGTTCTTACAAAAAGAATCTATTTCAGGAAATCAACTGCATTCATGATTACTGCACACTGACCATATCGTATGTCCATCTTTAAGTAACCGCCCTCATTATATATTAATTTTTTTATAAGATATTTACATTGAATCAATATAAATATGAATCAGATTAAATATGTATAATCTGAAAAAAGTATGTATTCTGTATTACGTTGATTTCTATAGCTAATTCAATACATATATGAATGCTATTAAAATTAATTATTTTTAAATGGCCTAACCACAAAACTTACTACAGCAGAAAGTAGTCAATCTCTGATTAAAAATCGTATACAGCCAGTACAATGTTTGTCACACCATTCCTCGTACAAAGGATTAATATTCATCTTAAATATATATCAACTTAAATATGTTGTTTTTAAAAAAAAATTGAAACCCTTATAAATGAAAAAGCAAGAACACAATAAAATTATCATAGTTTTTCAAAAAGCGTTCACACAGTTGTACTTCATTAAATTTATTAAACGAACAAAGTTTCATGTATAACAATATATACATACAGTATATATTTTTTATATAAAAAATTAACCTAAAATAGAGTTTTGTATTCAAATAGAAAAAATATTAATTTTTATTTAATTTTATTTCAAGTTTTTCATATTGTACATTATTATACGAATAACATTAGAAACAGTTTTTTAATTATTTTTAAATTTTAGCGATCAACGTTCATTTAAGTAAAACACTGATCGATTTGAATCAAACATTGCGGTTATTTAAGATGTAATGTGAAAAACAAAATGCAATGTTGTGGTCAAGTTACTAAGTTAACTGTTTCTAAGTTAATCTTAAAAATGAGTACCACTACGGTGTACTGTGTTTAAAAAAAGGATTAAAATGACTACCCATTTTAAAATCTTTACCACGTCTTTTTTTCATCTCGTCAAAGCGATTGGACATTCCGAGGAGTTCTTTTGGAACTGCTTGGCCAGCTTCTTCCAAAATACGAATGAGATCTTTTGCAATAGCCCAATCCGAGCGTGTTATATAACTTATGGCAGTGCCGGTTCGCCCAGCGCGTCCAGTTCTACCAACACGATGAACATACTCCTCAATGTTACGCGGAAAATCAAAATTAATAACATGACTAAGAAAAAAAAAATTTTTCACAACTTCAGTTTTTAATATTACTAAGCACTTACGTGATATCTTCAATGTCTAAACCTCTTGAAGCAACGTCTGTTGCTATTAAAATTTGTATGTCACCTGAGGTTAGATCAGCCAGTGCTTGTTCTCGATCGGCCTAAAGAAAATTTGTTTGAGTTTATAAGAATCTTATGCACAGAGGCATTACTCTAATAAAACTAATGTATTATATACCTGATCACGAGAACCATGTATACATTGTGTTAATAGGCCTTTTAGAGATAAATCACTAGACAAATCGTCAGCACGAGCTCGTTTAGAACAGAAGATAATAACTTTATCGCTTGATTTAAGGTTTTCTAAAAATGCCAGGACCTGTAACAGGAACAAATACATTTTTCTTTAAAGTTTTCTTTATTTAACTTTTCAAATAATATTACCGTATTAAATTTGTCCGCATCATCCACGAGTTCTACATTTTGAGTCACAGAATGAGTGGCAGTTAAATCAAGTGAGCCAACCCATACCTGTATAGGATTGTTCATATAAGTTTCGGCCAATCTACTAACACATGGTGGCCAGGTGGCACTAGTCATGACGGTCTGCCTGTCAGGGCGTATGTCAAGTAGAACTTTTCGAATCTGAGGCTCGAAACCCATATCCAGCATACGGTCCGCTTCGTCTAATATTAAATATGTAACCGATGTAATATCTACAACTTTAGCTTGAACCAAATCATTAAGACGTCCAGGCGTACAAATTATGCATTCAACTCCTTCTCTGAAATCTCTAATCTGGTCACGACGACTGCCACCACCATAAATACATACACTGAATAAGAATTTCATTATTGTTTATCTTTTTATTCATTTGTTTTAAACTATTTCTTAACTTACGCTTTTATTCCACGGAAAGAGTACTTGTTAACTTCTTTTGCTATTTGCTGTGCTAATTCGCGTGTTGGAGCTAAAATTAATATATTTGGACCATTGCGTTTCGCACGTGGTGTAGTCTGTCCATCAGTATGAATCAAAGCAGGTAGCAGAAATGCTAAAGTTTTTCCAGTTCCTGTTTGGGCAATACCTATCATATCCTCGCCTCTCAATAATATAGGCCATGCTTGCTTTTGTATAGGCGATGGTTCCGTAAAGTTTTGTTTCTTCAACTCATCAAGTATATCAGGATAATCTTTGAAACAGTGGTCGAATTTGTATATTGGTTTTGGTATATCAAGACACATTTGATCTTCACTTGTTTTCAAACGTGAAACCATTATATTGTTGTTTACTAAACGCATTTCATTGACTTCTTCCTCTGTCATAACAGCGATTTCCTCGGCTTCTTGATAAAAATTTTTTCTCAGCTTCGGAAGATGCGCCCACTGCAACTTACGATATTCTTCCTGTAATAAAAAATATTTCATATGAGCAAAACAAATAAATCGATATCTTTATTTGTAGATTGTTAATATTTTTCTTACAACTTTTCTATTTAGAGATTCCCAATCGATAGGCTGCAATACTTCCTTCTTTTTAGTACCACCAATACATAAATTTTTTGTAGGTAGACTTGATATATTTCCGCCATTTTCTCCCTAAATAAATTTTGTTATGAGCTACTATATTATATCCATACGCTCGTTGTATGTACTTCATACTTACAGATTTCGGAGTTGCAACCTGAATATTGTCATTTCTGGAAGAAGCACTAAAACGAGGCACGAATGATTTCTTTTTAAATTCAACTTTGGGATTGTGAGAAACTTCGTGATTTTGAGATGAAACATTTTTATTTTTATTTTTATATTTCTGATCAGAGTGTTTTATAATTTCCAAAATGTATTTAACGGCATCGTCAACATTTTTTCTATTACGACCTTTGACAGTAACTATATGGGTGTCACTATTTATATGTACATTGACGTTGAACTTTGTTTTAATGCTTTTTATGTTGGAGCCGTTTAGCCCAATTATGGCACCAATGTAAGCTGGGTCAGTAGGAAATTTCTCTATAATATCATTAAAATTGGACATATTTGCACTTAAAACTCCATACACATTCCTTTCAGGTGGAGCATCATCCCACATTTTTTCCAAATCATCTGTTTCAATGTTAGCAAAATTGAAATGACTATCCACTTTAAAATCTCTACCACGTCTTTTTTTCATCTCGTCAAAGCGATTGGACATTCCGAGGAGTTCTTTTGGAACTGCTTGGCCAGCTTCTTCCAAAATACGAATGAGATCTTTTGCAATAGCCCAATCCGAGCGTGTTATATAACTTATGGCAGTGCCGGTTCGCCCAGCGCGTCCAGTTCTACCAACACGATGAACATACTCCTCAATGTTACGCGGAAAATCAAAATTAATAACATGACTAAGAAAAAAAAAATTTTTCACAACTTCAGTTTTTAATATTACTAAGCACTTACGTGATATCTTCAATGTCTAAACCTCTTGAAGCAACGTCTGTTGCTATTAAAATTTGTATGTCACCTGAGGTTAGATCAGCCAGTGCTTGTTCTCGATCGGCCTAAAGAAAATTTGTTTGAGTTTATAAGAATCTTATGCACAGAGGCATTACTCTAATAAAACTAATGTATTATATACCTGATCACGAGAACCATGTATACATTGTGTTAACAGGCCTTTCAGAGATAAATCACTAGACAAATCGTCAGCACGAGCTCGTTTAGAACAGAAGATAATAACTTTATCGCTTGATTTAAGGTTTTCTAAAAATGCCAGGATCTGTAACAGGAACAAATACATTTTTCTTTAAAGTTTTCTTTATTTAACTTTTCAAATAATATTACCGTATTAAATTTGTCCGCATCATCCACGAGTTCTACATTTTGAGTCACAGAATGAGTGGCAGTTAAATCAAGTGAGCCAACCCATACCTGTATAGGATTGTTCATATAGGTTTCGGCCAATCTACTAACACATGGTGGCCAGGTGGCACTAGTCATGACGGTCTGCCTGTCAGGGCGTATGTCAAGTAGAACTTTTCGAATCTGAGGCTCGAAACCCATATCCAGCATACGGTCCGCTTCGTCTAATATTAAATATGTAACCGATGTAATATCTACAACTTTAGCTTGAACCAAATCATTAAGACGTCCAGGCGTACAAATTATGCATTCAACTCCTTCTCTGAAATCTCTAATCTGGTCACGACGACTGCCACCACCATAAATACATACACTGAATAAGAATTTCATTATTGTTTATCTTTTTATTCATTTGTTTTAAACTATTTCTTAACTTACGCTTTTATTCCACGGAAAGAGTACTTGTTAACTTCTTTTGCTATTTGCTGTGCTAATTCGCGTGTTGGAGCTAAAATTAATATATTTGGACCATTGCGTTTCGCACGTGGTGTAGTCTGTCCATCAGTATGAATCAAAGCAGGTAGCAGAAATGCTAAAGTTTTTCCAGTTCCTGTTTGGGCAATACCTATCATATCCTCGCCTCTCAATAATATAGGCCATGCTTGCTTTTGTATAGGCGATGGTTCCGTAAAGTTTTGTTTCTTCAACTCATCAAGTATATCAGGATAATCTTTGAAACAGTGGTCGAATTTGTATATTGGTTTTGGTATATCAAGACACATTTGATCTTCACTTGTTTTCAAACGTGAAACCATTATATTGTTGTTTACTAAACGCATTTCATTGACTTCTTCCTCTGTCATAACAGCGATTTCCTCGGCTTCTTGATAAAAATTTTTTCTCAGCTTTGGAAGATGCGCCCACTGCAACTTACGATATTCTTCCTGTAATAAAAAATATTCCATATGAGCAAAACAAATAAATCGATATCTTCATTTGTAGATTGTTAATATTTTTCTTACAACTTTTCTATTTAGAGATTCCCAATCGATAGGCTGCATTACTTCCTTCTTTTTAGTACCACCAATACATAAATTTTTTGTAGGTAGACTTAATATATTTCCGCCATTTTCTCCCTAAATAAATTTTGTTATGAGTTACTATATTATATCCATACGCTCGTTGTATGTACTTCATACTTACAGATTTCGGAGTTGCAACCTGAATATTGTCATTTCTGGAAGAAGCACTAAAACGAGTCACGAATGATTTCTTTTTAAATTCAACTTTGGGATTGTGAGAAACTTCGTGATTTTGAGATGAAACATTTTTATTTTTATTTTTATATTTCTGATCAGAGTGTTTTATAATTTCTAAAATGTATTTAACGGCATCGTCAACATTTTTTCTATTACGACCTTTCACAGTTACTATATGGTTGTCACTATTTATATGTACATTGACGTTGAACTTTGTTTTAATGCTTTTTATGTTGGAGCCGTTTAGGCCAATTATGGCACCAATGTAAGCTGGGTCAGTAGGAAATTCCTCTATAATATCATTAAAATTGGACATGTTTGCACTTAAAACTCCATACACATTCCTTTCAGGTGGAGCATCATCCCACATTATTTCCAAATCATCCATTTTGATGTCAGCAAAACCTACAAAAAAGAATACTTCATTATTATATTCATTTTTACACAAAACCAACTAAATTTCAAACATTCAAATTGAGCCAATTTTCACGAAATCACGAATTCACGAAATCACGAAATCACGAATTTACGAATTCTCAATCATATCAAATGAAACGTTATTTGAAATTAACTATTAAAAGTAGAAATATGTGTTCTTATAAGGATTATTGAGAGATAAAGCAATGCCAGTTTTTTGTTTTTGATTTGTATGTTGAAAATCATACTGTCACTTTCTTAAGTCTCATCACGCAGTGGCTCTATTGTTTCTTGTGACTTTTACTGAAATTCATTCTTATATAAAATGGTAATATGTGAAATGCAGATTTTGTTTTTTGCAAATAGGGTCACATAACCTTAAAAACACCATTGCTCAAACAAACAAGTATTTTTAGAAAATTTCAAAATTAATTGAAAATATTTAATTGAAAAAAGTTGCACATATATTCGATTTGAAGTCCCGCATTTTATGAAGCAAAATACATACCAGTAATAAAACTAAAACCGAAACTTAATCGAAAAACACAAGCCAAAAAACGATTCGACCACCGACGCGTCTCTTGAAAAAGTAATAAATGTAGAAGAAAACTTGTTCCGTTCCCGTTCTTTCAAAATTAATATAAGTATATTTGGCAGCCCATACACAGATTTGCTGGAGATTGATGTAACTATATTAATTTGGTTTATGCTTTATGTGCACAAACCAATTTCACAAAGGAATATCCATTTGAAATGATTACACAATCCGATTGGCACATTATTTAATAATGTAAAAAATCCACATACAATTTTAATACTACATGTGTTCAATAATAAAAATTCGTATGACTCATTGCTGACGTTTCTTATTAATGAACCGGTCAGCATTCCGATAAGAGCGTCTCTTTATATAATTATACACCTATACCTCGGTTTCGTGCAACAGTAGACTCGATTAACGATCTAGCCGTATTTCTGACAGTGTTTCGCTTAACAGTGAAGAAACCGATAAATATGCCTTTTATAGTGCAAGTTATAGCTGGTTTGATGATCAATGTGGCAAAAAGTTTCTGGAAGAAGTACAACGTTATAAATGCTATAGTAAACACAAATAAGTCGTAGAAGGAAACAAAAATGTCATCTGTTAAGAAATTTTGAAATATCGTCGAAACCCTGTGCCTGTAGTTGATACCAATATAAAAAAAAAATCAAACGGGAGGGAGCGGCTAACAAATGATGAACTGTTACGGTAAGATAAAGTAGAAAGTTCACAATAGATCAAGCTGATCACATAGTTAAGAGGCAACCACATCGTTTGACGGTTTTAAGCTCACATCGTAAATGCTGAAGGAGTGCTCGGTGAAGGTGCCTGCGTTCTGGCTTGAGCGACTCGAAATATGGTTTGCTAAGATTGGGGCACAGTTTGCGGTGGCAGGTGTCTGCAACGATGTGACGAAAATCAACACCATAGTAGATGCAGTAGAGTCTAGCATTGTGGCTGACGTAGCGGACGTTGTACGACATCCACCAGTAACAAACCGGTACGAAAATCTTAAAAAGCAGATAATCGAGCGATATAGTAAATCTGAGCAGCGAAAAATTCAGCGGCTATTATCAGACGTCACTCAACTATTAAATAAATTAACAACGTTGGCAAAGGATAAAGTGAGCGACGAAATTTTGAATACATTCTGGCTCCAGCGTTTGCCTCCACAAGTGCGCGCAATTTTTCAGGAATCAAGCGTTGAACTGATCGAGTTAGCCAAATAGGCTGACAAGATTTACGAAGCAGGCAATTAGCGGCGGTAACTGGTTAGAAGCAGAAAAGTTGCGTCAATGGTTAGATCAAATCAAGCAACGGTTGAGTCGTTTAGACATGAACTCCCGTCAACAGCAAATGTAGGCGTTTGTCGAGAGACCGCTGCCGATTACGTTTCCAATCGAGCAGTCTTCCAGATTGGTGCTGGTTCTACTCCAGATTTGGATGAAAGCGACGCAGTTGTAGACAGCCCTGCAGTTTTACGGCATCATCACATACAAAAAAACTAAGCGTTTCTTCGTCGTCGTCGAGCCGCAACGAAGGCAGCATACAATTAGCTTGACTCAGCATTAAGGATCCCATCACGACCACCATATTTCTAATAGATACGGGTGCTGACATCTCAATGAATCCACTGTAAATTTTGAATCATTCGTGCAAAACGGGCAGTGCTTCGTCGATAAATTTATTTGAAGCCAATGGTACTTCCATTCGCACGTTTGGGGAGAAACGTCTTCAGTTGTATCTTGGGCTGCGCAAAGATTTCCCATGGACTTTCGTGGTTTCAGACGTCAGTTTTCGTGGTTTTCAGACGGCACTATGACCTATTGGTTGACATGAAATGAAAGCAACTGGTTGAAAACAAAGCAGTTATTATGGACAAAAGTGACACTGCCAAGTTGTAAACGATCGAGATGCGCGCATGCAGCGTAGGTACGAAGTACGCCGTGCTGTTACACGAGTGCCGTGACCTGGCAACGATGAACGCGAATCGACGGAGAATCGTTTCATCAGTGGAGCACTGCATCGAAACAACAGGCCCACCATCATTTGCCTGTCCGAGACGCCTAACTGGTAGTAAATTTGAAGAAGCAAAAAAAGAGTTCAAGTATTTATTGCAAGCCGGTATCTATAAGCCATCCAAATGCTGTTGGGCTAGTCCACTCCATATGGTGCGTAAAGGGGATGGAAGTTAGCGACCTTGTGGGGATTATCGAATGCTCAACGCAGAGACCATTTGTGAGTTCCCTCTACCTACAACCGTGAGGCAGTTGCGGCAGTTTTTAGGAATGATAAACTTCTACCGTCCATTCTTGCAAGGTGCCGTTCATAGCCAACAACGTTTTTTTTTCGCTAATGCTTGGGAACCGCAAAAACGACAAAACTGCAATCGCCTGGTCGCTTGATGACCTGGGCATTCCAGCAGTGTAAAGATTGAACTGGCGCTGGCCCAACTTACTGTTATAACTGATGCCTCAAGAGATGCAGATGGTGCCATTTTCCAGCAAATAGTAGATAGAATATATCAGCCATTGCTAGGTAGTCACTTTATCGTGGTGTAGGAGCTTATTGTGAACTGAAGCATGTCATATGAAAGTCATGACATGATGACCTTTCATGTGGCAAGATTCAGCACACAAACTAAGAATTGCCGCCAACGCACAGGTTGAAAGTAGGTGTCTACGATTCCTGATTAGTCGTTGAGGCTAGCTAGAGGACTTTAATGAACACTTGCTTTACGGAACGTCTGGAAGAAACGGGACAACTTTTGCTGGACACTCATTTTTCAGGCTTTGCCATGTATACTGAGACTACGGAAACCATCGAAGAGACTACACGAAGAGATCTTTCACTGGTTCGTCAAATCTTCACAGTCAATAAAACTAAATGGTCCATTTCCACTTTCAGCCCGTTTAAATCACCTGGTATCGACAATATTCAACCCTGTCTTCTTCAAAAAGGCGTTGATATATTAGCACCGATATTAACAAACGTATTTAGGATAAGTCTAGAGCTAGGCGTGATACCTATTGGACGAAGGCTAGAGTAGCTTTCATGCCGAAAGCAGGCAAAAAGGCGGACCACACGCAAAAAGCTTTTCGACCCATTTGCCTAACTTCTTTCCTGCTTAAAACGATGGAGAAGATTCTAGATCAATACATCAGGGAAGTCTATATTAAAGCTTCACCTCTACATATTGAACAGTATGCTTATCAGTCGGGCAAATCGACCGACACCGCTATACACAGTCTAACAAGTAAAATCGAGAAGTCTTTAGACGGTAAGGAAATAGCTCTCTTCACATCGGTTGACATTACAGGAGCTTTTAATTTGGTGTGTTGAAAAAATCAGACCTGAAGAAATTGATAAAATAGTTTCTGCAGAAATTCCAGATCCAAATGTTGAAAAAGAGCTATTTAAAATTGTGACAAAAAATATGATACATGGTCCATGCGGAAATTTAAATATGACGTCACTTTGCATGGAAAATGGTAAATGCACAAAAGGATTTCGAAAAGATTTTGTTAGAGATACGATAACTGGAATTGATGGCTATCCTATATATCGTCGAAAAAATTTGGAAAATGGAGGCCAATCCTTTTCACTAAAGTTGAGAAATATTGAATATGAAGTTGAAGTAGACAATAGCTGGGTAGTGCCATATTCGCCATTGTTACCCAAGATATATAAAGCGCACATCAATGTAGAATTTTGTAGCTCCATAAAATCAATAAAATAAATTTGCAAATATGCTCATAAAGGTAGTGATATGGCAATATTTGCAGTTCAAAATATAAACGAAAATGATGAAATAACACGCTACCAAATGGGCAGATATATCAGCAGTAACGAAGCCATTTGGCAAATTTTTGGTTTTCAAATACACGAACGAGATCCAGCTGTAATACATTTAAGTATACATCTTGAAAATGGTCAACGTGTTTATTTCAACGAACAAAATGCAATAGAAAGGGCATTAATAGCACCAAAAACTACGTTAACCGAGTTTTTTGAATTGAATAAACAACACAATATTTTTGGGAAATTCGCAAAAGTTTTGAGTTTTGGGCAAAACTCGGAAGTTCCAACATATTTCATATGAAACAAAACTTTAAAAAAGTGGCAGCCACGTAAACGAGGTGTTGCAGTCAATGGTTATCCAGGATTATTTTCAGCAAACACACTGGGTCGTTTATATACTGTTCATCCAAAACAATGAGAGTGTTTTTCGTATGAGTATTTGAGAACTATCAATGGTCAGCTATACAATACATATCATGATGCATGTAGAGAATTGCAATTGCTGGAAAGCGATAATCATTGGGACATCACGCTCCGGGATGCAGTATTAAGTTTTTTTCCACATCAAATTCGTCAATTATTCGCCATATTGTTGACAACATGTTTTCCAAATAATCCCAAAGAATTGTGGGAAAAATATAAATGCTCAATGAGTGAAGATATACTACAAAGACATAGAACAACAAATCATGACTTAAATATTCAATTCAATCGTGAAATTTATAACGAAGCTTTGATTATGATCGAAGACTTATGTTTACTTATATCAAATCAACCACTTAAATTATTAGGATTGTATTCACCAAATCGTTTGCCAACCGATCTATTTAACAATGATATGCAGCGCGAACTTCAGTATAGCTCTGAAGATTTGGTTGAATTTGTTACAAGAAGCGAACAAATCCTAACGCACCAACAAAAGCTCATTTATGATCGGGTTTCGAACGCAATTGCTGCAAAAGAAGGCGGCTTTGTTTTCTTGGATGCACCAGGTGGAACTGGAAAAACTTTCTTAATTTCAGTCATTCTTGCAAAGGTTAGGATGCAAGGTAATATCGCTTTAGGACTAGCATCATCTGGAATCGTTGCGACATTGTTAGATGGTAGTAGAACAGCCCATTCGGCACTAAAGTTGCCACTAAACATACATTCATGTGAAAATGCACTATGAAATATAAAAAAACATTCCAATATGGCTAAAGTACTTCAAAAATGTCACATCATTGTTTGGGATGAATGCACAATGGCACAAAGCATTAATCGAACACTTAAAGATTTAAATGCCAACTATAGACTTTTTGGAGGCACTTTAATTTTATTGGCAGGTTCAATCTATGCTGATGAAATCAATGCTTGCCTTAAATCATCTATTTTGTGGCGAAGTGTCCATATATTGCGACTTACTGAAAACATGCGTGTTGGACTACAGAGAGATTTAGCTGCAGAACTGTTTGCCAAACAATTGCTGGATATTGTTAATGGAAACGTTAGTCTTCAGAAAAATACGCACTTTATTAAATTGCCAGAAAATTTTTGTAAAATTGTTAGTTCGAAAGTCGAATTAATAGAAAACGTATTTCCTCACATATATCAAAATTATCAGAACCATCAATGTCTTCAAAGTAGAGCTAAGAACTTAGATGTCGATGAAATCAATTCGAAAATTCAAGCTATGCTACCTGGTAATTTAATTTCGTTAAAATCCATCGACACAGTGGTAGATGAAAACGAGATTGTGAATTATCCCACTGAGTTCTTGAATTCGCTTGATTTGCCAGGACTACCACCACACAATTTACTTTCAAAAGTTGGTTCACCAATCATTTTATTACGCAATCTAAACCCACCAAAATTATGTAATGGAACAAGATTAGTAATTAAAATAATTATGGGGAATTTATTATGGGAATTGAATCAACAATATTAAGTGGAAAATTCAGAGGAGAATATATATTGATTCCATGCATACCAATTATACCAACCGATGTGCCAATTCAATTCAAACGATTGCAATTTGCAATTCGTTTAGCATTTGCGATGACAATTAATAAATCTCAAGGTCAAACATTAAAAGTATGTGGACTGAATTTGGAAAATCCATGTTTTTCGCATGGGCAACTATATGTTGCATGTTCCCGTGTTGAGAAACCTTCTGATCTATGTATATACGGTCAAAATGGCTTAACAAAAAATATTGTTCATGACTTAGCTTTAAAATAACATAATAGATCATAATAAAAATGTTAATATAATATTAAAAAAACCTTTTCTCATTTAAAAATAGTGCTTATAAGGATTTGAAGTAACATGAAAATATTTGTAACATAAGTAATGCATGTGGACTTTTTTTTAGTTCAAAAGAAAAAATCAATTTAAAATAATTTTAGCATTAAAATGCTTAAGGTTAAGTTGAATAATAACAAATATTATAACTCAACTGAGCCAGAAAAATTAATTGCAAGGGGAAACAACGTTCGCCGGGTCAGCTAGTAATATTATACAATAACATCTAGCATTAATAAGAGAACGATATACATAAGTCATTAAAACACGCTGCGATGAATACGAATAAATGTGTCCCAACTCCATGTAAGTACCAAAATCTGTTAAAATAATAGCATATAAATCAAATCATCTATAGATCATCAGTTAAATCCCTAGACAATTTGATTTAACTACAGCACAATTAGCTAGAAAGTAATTTATTAATATAAAAATATTTAATATGTATATATACACAAATTAAAATAAATATGTATGTAATAATATATAAAATGAACGTTTTATTTATTATTTTCCAAATCAGAAACTAGTGAAAAGACTAGTTCCACGGTGTATCCTACGGGGACAATTGACACCGGCAATGACAACTCAATATAAAATTCACCAATTGAGCACACGTAAACTGCATTAACGCCCAGTTAGACGACAGGTAACGTAAGAAATTAATTCAAAGCGAAATGCATAACCAACCAAACCTGCGTATTTGATAGGAACGAAATAAACAAAAGCGGCGAACTATATACACAGGTATATAGGTATATAAATACTCAGGTTTGGTTGGTTGTGCATTTCGCTTTGAATTAATTTTTTACGTTACCTGCCGTCTAACTGAGCCTTTATGAAGTGACTAGTACTTACAGGGCTAGAAAGATGTTTTGTTCTATTTATTTTGTGAAGAAATCAAAAATATTTGCTAATCGCTACCACAATTTCAATATAAAAGTAATGGAAAGCCGCAAGATGTATGTTCCATTATTATTACTATTTATACATAAATAATTATTTACGGAATTTACCTCATGTCATATAAGAAATATATCCAAATAAATAAATAAATATATGAATAAATCAATGTTAAATAAATAATATTAAATATTAATTTCTAAATATATGAAAAATATATGTACTATATTCATACATATATAAACGTATAAAATATATATCTTAGAATTATTTCAAGCACAATATAATATATCAATGCATTTACGTTTCCGTTCTATTAAATATGAAGTTGCAAATAATTGTTCGAAATAATTGTTTTTCAAATTTCTTTCATTTTACAGTTTTATTCATAACAAACTTTTTCTTGCAATTACCTCGCAAGAAAAAGGAATGTTTCTGTGCATTCCTAGAGTTATATTATTATATATAAATAAATCAATATAAATAAGAATACATGATTTATGGCGCTTACCGGCTTAAATATGTTTTCGTTCAGATCTGCAATTGACTCCAAGTCATCAGCGCTTGTTGTGCTTGACTCCTGAATCGAACAACTCTTCGACAAATCTTTATCACTTGAATCCTCAGGATAGCTCCTTCTACTTTCATCTGCACTTGTATCATCGGTTGTTTCTGTGCATTCCTAGAGTTATATTATTATATATAAATAAATCAATATAAATAAGAATACATAATTTATGGCGTTTACTGGTTTAAATATGTTTCCGTTCAGGTCTGCAATTAAATCCAAGTCAACATCACTTATTGTGCTTGGATCCTGAATCGAACAACTGTTTGTCATAATTTTATCAGAGTCCTCAGGATAGCTCCTTCTATTTACATCTGCACTTGTATCATCGCTTGTTTCTGCGCATTTCTAGAGTTATATTATTATATATAAATAAATCAATATAAATAAGAATACATAATTTATGGCGCTTACCGGCTTAAATATGTTTTCGTTCAGATCTGCAATTGACTCCAAGTCATCAGCGCTTGTTGTGCTTGACTCCTGAATCGAACAACTCTTCGACAAATCTTTATCACTTGAATCCTCAGGATAGCTCCTTCTACTTTCATCTGCACTTGTATCATCGGTTGTTTCTGTGCATTCCTAGAGTTATATTATTATATATAAATAAATCAATATAAATGAGAACACATAATTTATGGCGCTTACTGGTTTAAATATGTTTTTGTTCAGGTCTGCAATTAAATCCAAGTCAACATCACTTATTGTGCTTGGATCCTGAATCGAACAACTGTTTGTCATAATCTTATCAGAGTCCTCATGATAGCTCCTTCTACTCACATCTGCACTGGTATGATCGCTTGTTTCTGTGCATTTCTTGAGTTGTATTATTATATATATATAAGAGAATATAAATAATATTGTATATAAAAATATTTAGTTTTCGGTGCTTACCTTTTTCAACAAATTTTCAATTAAGGTCAGTTTATCTTTGAAATTTGTATCCATTGTCCTTTTTGGAGGATTTAATATTCTTCTATTAAGTCTGATTTTTTGCACCTATATTTGGTTTTTTGTTGTATTAATAAATTGCTCTTACAATAGGTTTGAAATACTAACCCGACCAGTTGGAACGGAATTGCCATTGGGATTAAGTAATTGCCACACTTTCGACATTGATTCTACAACACTTCCACAGCGTTGTGGTATAGAGTTTTCGACTTTGTCAGTCGGCGTGGAATTTAATAAATTTTGCTAAAATTGTGTTATTATATTTAAGTAGGTCAATTTAAGCATTTTTACTTTAAAAATGAATGTAGGACAAAATAAAATTACCACTTCAAACATGCTTTCATTAGTATCCGCTAATATTTCTGTAGCAATATCCACTTTCCTGTTTGGTTGACCTACATCACTTTCTTCCTCATTATTGGATGAATACTGAGTCCCACTGTTGAGTTTGTTTTTTTCAATCTAAGTTTTATTTGAATTTTAAATATATTCTTTTACTGTTTTGAGGGACTTACTTGATCAGTTGGAGTAGTTGGGCACATAGTAAGATCAATAAAGGGCATCTCTAATTTATTCAAGTCTACAATATCATAGCATTTTGGGGTTGGATTCCAAATCGTACCCTTCAGCGTTGAATTTGACGAATGTTTCTAAAATTATTGTAGCATAAATCAGAGAATGTAAATTTTGAAAAACTGATCATTTTAGGATACAATTTGAATTTTGTTAAATTCATTTTAAATTTTAATATTAAATTGTATTTTTATAATAGTAAGAACATAAGATGTCGACTAAAATGCGTGTGAAAAGGAAGACAAGTCTTGAAGTGATGAGGCTGTTAACGATCTTCATGTAATATGATATATGTGTTAAACTTTCTAAATTTTAACACAGTCGTCAAGAGCTTGGCATATAATATTTAACTCATGAGGCTTTATTTCGTCTTTTTAACGTAGAATCTGTTTCTAAATGTCAATAAGCGTTGCTTTAACAATTTGTATTTAACTAAACGTATTTTAATGTATAACTGAGCTTTTTTACGTATGCATTTATTTATTGAATTACTGTTAATAGGTATATAAAACGATTTTTATATACGAAGACAGAGTACCTAAAATAAATTTCAACAGTTTTCCCTTTGCATCTGATTTCAGCTAATCAGCTAATGTTTTACAATATAGTTATATAAAGACTAAGATGCCTTTATCGAATAATACATTCAAAAAATAGTTGGTAAAGAAACCAATCAATTAAGGATTTTTTACCATAGGAACTGTTAGCATTTTTCAGTAATGTTAGCCAGTTCATCCAGAAATACTGCCAGAAATTTTATGAATGATTAACTAAGTCCATTTCTAAAAAGTGGTTTTCTTAACAAGTTTGGCTATTTTTAGTATTATATTTTTTTAGATATTTCGGCGAACAAGCTTTCCTTAGAAAGCTTGAATATTATTACCTTTATAGGAACTTTTAATGATTTTTCCAACGACATAATAAGAAAAATTTTTGCTGCATGTCTCAAGAACACAATAAGTGCATTTTTTTTGTTGGCTTTACTAATCCAAATGAGTTTAAATTTATATGTTATAACGTAAGGCAAAATCAATATATACTATTCCGTAGTTAGGATTGTTTTCAACACATAATAACATATATACATATATAAAACATATATAAAACAAATAAACCATCGTCAGTTTAAAAATATTGCATATAAGTGCTCCCTTGTTCCCTTACTATAATATTGTGTTCAAAGAATCCAATTTTAAAAATTATTGCAAGCATGTGCAATAGTTATGATATATATTGTCTATATTTGCCCCGAGCTTTCCAGGAAATCCTTTAGCACATCATCCTCTTTAATACAGAAGCAAAATTAATTTCAATATGTTATAAAAGAGTTTAGTTTTAAGTTGTGAATCTCATTTGTATTTAGTGAATGAATATTATACTACATAACTCTAATTTACAAAATTGGTGGACAATTCATAGTTATTGTTTCACCAATCTAAGCTCTGATTGAGCTCTCTGGGTTGCACCAGTCAATAGTCTGCTTGTATTTCAGCTCTTTATATTTTGTGGTTGGCAGGTATTTTTAAATATAGAAGTGAAACCATATCACGATTTACCTCATTTCCTCCTTTTTGTGCCTTACATTATACATTTATTACTAAACAAAACTAAATTAACCAACGTGACGTTACCATGACTGTCTGCTT